ATTAAGTATCTGGTAAAGGCAGCTTGAAGCAAGGATTCATCGTAATGCTTGAATTATAAATTAAAAAGAAAATTCGATTTGTTGTGAGGACGCCAATTGAGGAAAGGAACATAAATTTGATTATATTGATAGAAAAGAAATCATGGCAGATTGATTGGATTTAGTATTTTAGTTATAATCTGATTCATACATGGAAATAATTATGTAGTAGTATTAGTTTTTATTTTATATTCATACAAAAATAAAAAGCAATTGATTTGGTACATTATATTATACTTTAGATAATGCTTCATTAGTATAATATAATTACATTTGATAATTCAAATGCGTGTATTTATTTATTTTATATTTAATATATGTAAAATATAAAAATTTATATGTTTCGTTACGTTAAATACCAACAATATATTTATTTTTATTAAATTAATATATATTTTTTATTAAAATTTTAAATCATACTTTTTTGTGTAATTTACATATCTGTAAATTAATATAAAGACTATCTTCCTGAAGGACAGATAAGCATCGTTTGAAAAAAAATAAGTGACAATTTTGGAAAAAATTATATACTTACAAAAATTGAAGAAAGCTTGTCCGGAAGCTTCTCCAAAAAAAAGAAAGGAATTGTTATCACTCCTTAACGATCCAAGTTAAGATGTAATGATTCTTCTTTAGCTTCTTTTGATAAAAACAATAAAATTTGTTAAATCTAATGTGAGTACGATAAATTATTAATTGCAAAGTCTCTATTATTTAGCTTTTGAGTTTTGTTTAGCTCATAGAAAGAAAGCTAATTTATTTTAAGACCATTTTTTTGTTACTTTTTGGAAGAGAAATGTGATTGTTTTTTATTGTTTATTAATCGAACTTCTTTCAAAAAAGAAAAAAAGAAAAATCGTAAGTTTAAAGATTTGCTTATTATTTGTTCTAAGCTTCTAGATCTCGCTTCCATTCAAGTTAACTTTTCGATCTACTATGTTGACTCAATGTCGAATGTCAAGCAATTCGTTAAGAAGTTGAAATGTTGGGGATTTTTTTTTTGAGTGATTGAATATTTCAATATTAATTTTCGAAAATATTGACTTCGTTAATGGCATTTGAGTGGTGAAGATAGGGAACAAATAACACGGTAACATCTATTTGTTCAATTTTATTTTATTTTTTTAATTTTTTGTTTGGTTATTGAGAAATGGAATGTGAATAGAAAGAGTTTTATATTTTTCTATTTTCTCTTTTTGGGTTCATGGTTCTTTTTTATTCCTACTTATTCTTACCATTCCCTACCCTATTGTCAGCCTGAGCACATACTTGATAGTGTAGAAAATCTTGGGGAAGTTCTTGTGGTGATCAAATTGAAAACTCTTCTTATGTGGTGAGTTTGGACTCTAAGATGATTTCTTTGTCTCTTGGTTTTCGGTGATTGACATGATTGTTTGTTTGCAATTAAAATGAGAGAACCACAAATGTGCAATATTGTATGTTGTAAAATTCTTGATAAAAAAATTGCAAAGGCATTCTAGGATAAGATCGATAATGAGTATCTAGTTAACATGTGAGCCTCTAATTCAAGAAATTTTAATTGTAGTATTCCATTTCTTTTTTGAGTAGCAACTAATATTTATAATGTGTTTATGATAGGATTTTGGATAACCTTCCATTGCTTGTTCCCATAAGAATGCCCAATCGGGAAAATGCTATAGTGTATTAGCATAGATTTCATGTTGGCCTCAAAGGATAGTATGAGGGGGTAAGTGGTAGATTGGTCGGCTTCTTTTTAGAATAATTTTTAATATTTTTTCATGTTTTGCTATAAGTAATGTTGTTCTATTATTTGTTCTTGTAAAGCAAGGAAAAAAAGCATTTTATCCATAATCACTTGACATTTACAATCAAATATCACAATGATCCACTAGCTGATTTTGCAAGGATTGTTGGATTAGAGGTTAAATCATTCAAGTTAAAAATTTTTATTCTTTATGAGAAAGGCATATATGTTACGTTTAATTTCTCTTATCAATGGTGTTTATTTTCTATAGTTCTTAGCAAATCATGTTAATGAATGTAATGTTAAACATGAATATGAAGGTGAGTGGAATGAGAGGACCTGTCTAATAACTTGTGAGCCCCATGTAAAACATGAGTTACAATAAAGGGCTCACAATAAATAGCAAAACTCGAATGCATTATTACAAATTAAATTATGCTTAGTAGCTTACTTGGTGTTAAGATATTTTATTCTTTTAAAAAATATGTTTTTCCTAAATTATTAGTTTAATTGCTCTTGTTCAAGCGATTAATAGTAAAATGAAAGTAGTTGAGAAATCTAACAAATGTGTTATTATCTAATTGTTTTTCTGTTTTGATTTGGAATCCAATTTGTCCAAATGGATACCATTTTGAGTTCTTTATCCTTTTTTGCCTACTTTTTATGTAAAATTGTTGATAGGTTTATGCTTAAATTTTTTATGGATAATGGAGAATTTATTTCTTACTATTTTCTTTTTAAAAAACTAGACATTTGCTATATCATGTTTCTTTCTCAATATATTATTGATTTGGTATATAATGAAAGTTATGTTCTTTCTTATGTTATTATGAAGTGTTTTACTTTAAGTAATAGTTAATATGATTGTTAACTCTTTTTCATATATCATACAATATGTCATGAAATGAAAATTTTTTATCTTCGTTTGTTTTGGTACAAGTTTTTAACTTTGGTAGCACTCTTCAGCTTTGAGTAAATAATCCTTTCATTGCATTCTCTATAAGGTTTGATATTAATGCTTTTTTCTTAGAATTAAGCATAAACTTTAGAAATATACCATGTGATTAAGGTTGAAATGAAAGTGTCTCATGAAGTTTAAAACATGACACTTAACGACCTTATGATTTGTTTTATTTTTTTTTACCCAAAATTGTTACTTTTTCTATTTCTTTTTATTTTTTATTTTTTTAAATTCATACTCTCTCTCTAAAAATTCATTATTTATCTCTAAAATCAAACAAATTCTCTCTCTAAACCTAGACTAATCCAGAAACAATAACCTTCACGCCACCAGAATCTTCACATTACCACTACCATTAAAAGTTCACATTATCATCAGATTTCACACAGGTGATCACTCCAATTTTGTTTTTTCGTTAGCCCCAAAGTGACATTGTTTTATAAAGATTTAAAACTTTAAAATCCATAGCCTTCTGTTCTAAGCTTTTTTCTTTATAGTTAGTTTCTTTCTAATTCTTAGATTTCAACAAAGAAGAACAAAACCCATTAATCAGTGGCCTTCTGCCCTTATCGTTTTTTAATAACACCATCAACCGTCACTTATCACCAATGGCCACTTATTACAATGCCGAACACTTTTCACATTCCCCTTTCTTTAAACTTTCAAACCTTAAATAAAAAAAATTAACAACCTAAAAATTGTTGCTAATCTACCACTCGCCTTTTGCTTCCACCCACTGTGCACTATATAACAGTTTTTGAAAACCCCAAGTAAATCTCCTTCTTCTTTCTTCCTTTTTTTTTTCTTTAGAATTTCCTAATCTCCAACATAAGCCTAGATCAAAACACCAAATAAAAGTTGCTACCACTTTGGAATTTTGTTGCTTGGGTGGTAATTTCTGCTTTTTGTAACTAAATTTTTTATTATAGATTTTTCTTTGAAGCTATTTATTGAAATTTTGGTTTTGTTTCTGAGTTGTTTTGTTGAGGCTTTGTTGGTGAATTTTTTACTGCTTGTGTTGTGAAATTTGGCTTTTTAAATTGATTTGATTCCTAACAGCTTTATGTTTATTAATAGTAAAATGGATTTTTTTTATGGTTTAAAAGTTGTTGTTGGTGGATTGGTTTGGGTTTAGAAAGAGAATTGATTTAATTTAGAGAGAGAAAATAAATTTTTAAAGAGAGAATATGAATTCAAATGAAAAAAAATAAAAAGAAACAAAAAAGTAACGGTTTTAGGTAAAAAAAATAAAACAAATCATAAAGTAGTTAAGTGTCACGTTTTAAACCTCATAGGATACTTTCATTTCGACCTTAACTATATGGTATATTTATGAAGTGTATCCTAGATTTAATCACTGTTGCCATAACCAACTTGCCAAAAATGATCGTCTTTCATACCATTTATTGTGAATGAAGTCTTACTCTTTCAAAAATATTTTATTATGTTTCATTTGGTAATAATTATTGACATTTTGAGCAAAGTTCTATTTTTTTGTACTTTACATAGTAATAAAATTCCTAACAACTAATAGTTTTTTATTGTATTGCATGTCAATTTTTCCTAAACATATGGGTTTTAATCATAGATTTGAATGTTGGCTTTTGCTTTGAATTTGTTGAATATGGCTTTAATAAAAAATGAATCAAGAAACGATTGTTTACTTTCATAGCTTCTAATTTCTTTAATCAATGTTTCAAATACTCATTTTGTCAAATAAATTTGGCGTTGCAACCTACTATGTAATCGTAGTTAAATCTATTGGTATATAAATTTCAACTGTAATTTGAAAAAGGAATGCTTCAACAAAAGATAAGGTAGAGTGAAAGCCACAATTGTTATTATCAATAACTTAAATAGAGAATTTAGGTAATTATCACCCATGTTTTTTTTCTTAGATATATTCTTTAACTTTTTGGGAATATGCTTAGCTCTTTGTTGATTATTATTGGAACTGAGTTAAATTTGTATTTGATTATTATTGAATATCTATTAATGCTTATATTAGATTAGATTCGATGTTGGCTATTATTGAAAATCTATCGATTATTATTTTATTTTTGATGTTGTGATTGATACGTCGCTATTTTTAGTGATGCTTAATTGTTGATTTAAGATTTGACTTTTTTTTTCTCCTAGCTTTTTTATGTTTGGCTTATTGTTTTTAAGGAGATAGTTCCACTTTTGATTCACAAGGAAAATACTTATTTATTTATCAATGGCTTCCATTAAAAATTTTATAATTAATTATAAATTTAATTGCAGGGTTCGACACGAAGCGAGGGCTGCACACTAGCTTACTATAAATGTTGTTTCCTATTTGTATTGGAGGGACAACTTAACAATGTAAAATAATAAAAATGATTAAGGGGTAATTTTAGATTTAAAGAAAACTTCTCTAGAAACTTCATCTGCTTTTATTCTCACAATTTCTTCCTTTCTTTTCAAAATCTCACTGACTTATATTGCTATGGCCATCAAAATCCCAGACTTCGGAGTAATGTAAGTCTCTATTTTTTTAGCTTTCAATGCAATTTTTGTATTATTCCTTTATTCGATAGATTACATTCTATTGACTCAGTTACTAATTGTTTCTTTTGTTTGAATATGAATTCTTCATAAAAACCTAAAATTTCCTTTCAAAATAATGAATTATTAATCTAACACCTTAGTTATTGGATTGCTTATGCTCTCCTTTATTTTGTTTTTCTGGGTTTCCTTTCATTTGTTTTTTGCATTTTGATTGATAATTTTGGTTTTTTTTTATTATCAACATTGTATTGTGAATTTTATGTGGGTTATAAATTTTTCTTGCGTGTATTTTTTTTAATTTTTTGTTCATATTCTCTTTGATTTACTTAATTTGTTGTTTTTTCAGTTTTCGTTGCTTTATTCCATGCATAAGTTTTACCTTGCATTAATTTTTGGTAGTTAGTCATTATTGGAGATGGGTACAAAGGACTTGACCTTTGTGCAATTTAATCAGTTGATTAGAATGAAGATTGAAGGAACTTATATGGGGTAAAGGAGATCCTTGTAGCCATTTAATTGTTTAAGGCAAATCAATGGTTGGGCGTGCTGATGACCTATTTAATTGGGTATGTGTTTCTCTTTTGATTTTGTGAATGGATATCTTATATTTGTTGCAATATTTTAGTTCACAGACCAACAACAGTTTAATAAATTGTAGATTAATTGCCTTTTGTTAATTATAGTTTTTTTTTTATAAAAAATCTATTCTCTTCAAAAGATTGATTTTTCAAATGGTTTATTTGTAGATTAATTGTGTTCTTCAAGAAGTACAATTTATTGATCAACAACAATTTAAGCAATTTGTGTCTTAAAGCAAAGTAAGAATGGAAGTATATATTCTGGATTTTTAAGAAGAGTATATGGGGAAATACAAGAATTGAAACTTAATTTAGTCTAATGGTTTATACTTATTTCCAAAATCAATTAAGAATTAGTGGTCATGGAATTGCAGCATCTAGGTTGAATGCAAAGTTAAATGTTGTTGGGTGGATTTCTGAGCAAATAGGTAGAGTAAAGGTAGAGATTTTGGATTACTTTAATGCTATGCGATGAAAATTTTTTTAATCTATGGTTGAGATTTATAAGAACATGTGCTATTTTGTAGTTTAATCTCTGGATTAAAACCTTTTTTTTTTTTTTTCCCCTTATCTTCATTCCTACCAAATGGAGTGCAAGTTTTTTATTTCTTAGGCTAATCTTATATTTTATCAGCCTAAACAATACCTTATCAGTTTGGAATTTTAAAGTTCAATAATATGCAACAGTTGCTTAATATTTGTTTTAGGGACAACTTTACAATGAAATACAATTTTGCTCACAATTACTTAATTATTTGGTTTTGTTTTTGAAGTCATGTTAAGAATGCCTATTTAAAAATTCCCAAACTCTATGTTATAGATTGGACAACTTTTATCTTGTATACTCAAGGTTTTAAAGGAGCTGATATTATAGAAATTTGTCATCGTGAATGTAATTATGCCATCAGAGAAAACATTGAAAATGTATGATTATGTCTAAGGAACACTATGAAGAGAAGAAGATAAAAGTAATTATTGTTGATAAAAATGAAGTTCCAAGTAATGGGAAAATTGATGAGAAGAGGATAAATAACTATGATATACCAAAAGATAAGTAGGTTTACGATGAGAGCTATCCTCTGCACACAAATGGATCGTTATCTTTTCATTGATGAAGGTTTTAATTGCATTCACAATGGAAGGCGCAATAGAAATTACATGAAGTGGAAATGGCAACCACAAGATTGTGATTTTCTTAGGAAAATATGATTTGCTTTATAATTTTTTCGTGGATATGCACATCCTAATAATTGTCATAGTAAAGACTGGTTTTTGGTGTGGGGTTCTCTGTTTTAGGTTCAATGCTACAAAATTTCTAGATTTGATATGAAGAAAAAGACTAGTTTTTATGGGAGATTCAATTAATAGAACCCAATGGGAATCCATGCTTTGTTTGTTAATGGGATCTATAAAAGATCCAAAGAAGGTTTATGAAACTTATGGGTGAAGAATCACCAAACAGAAGGAAAATTATAGTTTCAAATTTATGGTAATTAAATGATTATTTAAAGTTTATTTGTTCTTTATTTCACTTTTACACTGGAATTTTGAGTATTTGCCTATTTGGGGTAGTTGATGTTTTGGGGTTGTTTCTGCAGGATTATAAATATATAGTCGAATACTATGTTTCTCATTGTTTAGTATACAAGAACAATGCAAAAATAGGGCAAAAGTGGGAAGCCAACTTTGTGAATTGATGCCATTGATCGTGGTTCATCAAAATGGAAAGGAACTGATATTTTGGTCTTCAACACTACATATTAGTGGTCTTATTACAAAACAAAAGCTAGGTTAGTGGCCATTACATTATCATACTATGAATCTTTAAGAAAACGTTGGCTAGTATACTTTAAAGTTATAGTGTGATCTTCTTTTCAAGGTTCCAATCCTACATTAACCGTAAGTTGGAAAGTTCAACCAAGTTCTTTTTATTAGGAAAGCATGTTAAGCTGTTCTTTTAAGAATTAGGATGACATTGCTATGATATGCACATATGGGCTAAACCTTTATATGCTCTTGTCATAAGGTTGATGTCTACTGGCAATTTCCATATCTTAGGATCAACTATTATCAGGAAAGAAACCAAGTACATCCTCGACTTGATGTCTCTACAGCTTTCAAAAAAGCTTTAATAACATGGGTAGCATGGATTGATAGACACATTAATCCAGGCAAAACACAAGTTTTCTTTTGAAATTCAACATATTCTCATTTCAGGTTTGCTGTTGTTTATGCTGCTATGAACTTTCCTTTCTTTAACATTTACTTAGATGGATTACTAAGTAGGCTCTGATCATTCATTGTATAGGGGAGGACAGTGAAATTCAGGTGGCCACTGTATGGAAGCTGCTTGGCCCCTTAATGACACTTCAAATATGATATACCCTGAGAAGAACAAAATTGTGGAGAAAGTCATTTTGCAGATGAAAACTCCTGTAACATTGCTGAATGTGATTAATTTATTTGTGTACAGGACAAATGGTAATTCGACAATATACGGTGACCTTGATAGCTTAGTTGACCTAGATCTCAACAGTAATGACTTATTGGGGTCGATGCCACAAATCTTTAGAGGGCTAAGAAATTTACAAAGAAATAATCTTCAAGAACAACGATGTCGATAAGTCCCTACTGGTCAAATTATTCCATACTCCAAATCAATTTTAGATTATAGTATTTTCATAATTAAAACAAGATAGCAACATAGTGCGGGCCTGCCCGCTAATCTCGAATAATATTGCGAGGGCAAATAAATATCTATTGTTCTGGTTGAAAACCTCAAAACCGAAGTATCGAAAATTCCGGAAGTCAAAACCCTAAAACTTCCAAAAATCTCATTGCACAATTTCACAAGAACGCGAACCATATCCTTAAAACCGTAACACCCCTCCTCCACAATCTGAACGCAACCATAATGGCACCCGGTCTGAAAACGATTTCGGACCACCCTTCCACTTCCCGCAAGCGCCTCCTGTCCGATAGCGCCAAGCCCAAAACTCCTACGCCGTTGAATCCCTATCCACTCAAAAAGACCCGGAACCTCCCCAACTTAACCGAATGCCAAGCCTGTGGATCCCGAACTGACAGCGCTAACGGCAAAAACCGAATTCAAACGCTTTATAGCGAGTGGCGCATTGTTCTTCTCTGCCCAAGATGCTATCATCGCGTTGACTCATCCCATATCTGCACTTATTGTTTCAAAGAAGCCTCCGACGATTGCTTTTCTTGTGAACAATGTAAGCGATCCGTTCACAAAACTTGTTTTTTAGATTACAAATCTGTTCCGCCGTGGTCGTACTCTGTTTGTGGTTCTGAATTCACGATTTGCATCGATTGTTGGGTCCCCAAACAGATTGCCTGCAAAAGGGGGATTTTGACGCGCAATAGAAAAGCTAACAATTCTAGAGATTCTGAAGTTAGGAATTTTGGGGGGGCCAAGTTGTTGGAAGATGTAGTGAAAGATGCGAATTGTTCAATGGAGAAGAAGGTTGAAGCCACAGTTAAGGCAAGGGAAATGGCGGTTAAGAAAGCCGTTGTGGCTAAGCAGGCAGTGGAATTGGCAAGCAATGCATTGGAAGAGTGTGATGATGCTGAATTGGCATTTCGGTTGCACAGGGCCATGAATAGTTCACCTAGGATTTCAAAAAATAGAAATTTGTGTGATAAAAATGGCTTAGAGCCTTTGATTGCTGGTAGTAGTAGGGCTTTCAGTTGTTTGAAACGACCAGAGATAGTTTATGCCCGGCGTAGAAAGAAACCAGCTGAGATAGTTTATGCTTGGTGTAGAAAGAAAGCAAGTGAGATAGTTTATACACCGCGTAGAAATAAGCCAAATGAGATGGTTTATGTACAATGTGGAAAGAAATCACATAAGTTAGTTTATAAACGGCATAGCAAGCACAGTGAAAGCAAGGAAATATCTGGTGTTGAAATAGGAATGAAGGAGAGAGAAGAGAGCTGTTCTAGTTTGTTGTCCAACTCAAGTGGGGTTGATGGTAGCATGAACTCTGAGTCTAAGCCTTATAATTACCAAGATGAGTCTATTGTCTTTAATGATACACAGTCAGATGGGAAACTTGTTCAATATTTGCTAACATACAGTAGGAAGAAACCAAACTGGAAGGAATCTCCAAATGGCAATTCCAAGTTCCTTTATGAAGGATGTAACCTTGAAAGTCAGGCTACATCCCCTCAACTGCCAGAATCTTTAATGATCTCGACTACTACACTCCAGTGTTCTGCTTTTCCTCATCAAGCCTAAGCTGGTGCAAGTGACTCATGCCTAGATCACTCCTAGACTGAAGAAGGTAATAAAAAGTTCTGCCTTCTTGCTGTACATTTTATTAATTATCTTTTCTTCTTTTTTGATTGAAAAATAGTCTCAATTGTGCTGGGAATTTTATATGGTTGCCTTACCAGTCTTCTGATTTTACTTTGTCCTTATTCATCGCAGAATTGTTTTCCTTGTGCTGGGTTGTGGATTATTTGTCTGGGATGCTTTAGATATTCCTAGCTCTGCTTGGTGTCCTTCATAAGAGTTGGATATCATAACTGCGCCAGTGGAGGAAAAGTGCTGCTGAAGTTGGTCTTTTAACTTCTGGAGGTTTCTGGTTGCAATTTGAAAAGTCTTCTCACCATGGGAATATCCACATATTGGATGCGTAAGTGTCTAAAGTTTGTGTCTCCTTCCTGTGATTTTGGAGTTGTAATTGCCCCTAAATCTTGGTATATGTGTTTATTCAGAAGCTGTTTCAAGAAAAGGGCAAAAATAAATAAATAAATAAATTATTGGAAAATGAAAGTAGGAATCCTCATTCTAAGTGTGGATTTTTTAACAAGAAATAATGTGTATCATAAGCTCTAACATCTAAGTCCTATATATCTTAAATAAGAGCTTGTGCTAGCTTCTGAAGTTTTTGCAGATATAATTAAATGTTGACTGGATGAATTATTTTTTGAATACAGTCGTAGATTTTGATCATAACATATTTTTAAATTTTTAATACATTGAGCAAAATATTCCTTTTTATGGCAAAAAGATTCCCTTATATTTTGTGTTGTAATCTATGGAATGAGTTCATTCGTTTCTTTGCTTAGAAATTCTACTAATGATCCTTGGATAATTGACAAGCCAAATTAAATCAAATATCTTCCATGGTTATAGCCATTTGAAGATGATTTACTCATTGCAAAAAAGCACTTGATAAAAATCTGTCATGGACTGTTGTCCCCTGAAGAGTGAAGACTAATGGAGTCGCTGCAAAATGGGTAAGGTATGTTTACTTTCTGAACACTTCTATAAGTAGCTTAAATTTGATGTTTGCCTCTTTTTTCTTCTAATCATTTTTTAAAATTTGCCATATTTGTAGTTGTTCACTGGTGCTTTGTAAGAGGCAAAATTTTGTTGCAAGGAATGTGATTGTGGCTAACAAGCACAAAAGCAAGGTTCAGTTTAGCATTGAAAGTGGTGACATCATTCAAAATTGCTAAATGGAAGGATTTTTTCTGGATCATCTCTTGAAAAACCTTGGTTAGGCAAGATCATGACTAGGTGATGGCCCTTTTTTGTTCATCTTGACTAAATTAAAATTTTTTGTCAAATTTTAATGTTAGACAATTCTTCACATTTATATTAGATGAAGCTTCTTGGAAATCTACTAGAGAATGTTTCAATATCAACAGCATTATATTTGTGTCTTAAACTATTGTTCCATTGGATGCAGAGATAATCAACATTTGTTCTGATGTGAAACTTATTCTTAATATTTTCCATTTTCCAACTTTTATCTGTTTCACAACTCCTGTAAAATGCTTTGCATGAGGTAACATGCTGGCATTCAATATCTATGGTTTGAATACCATGAAATTGATTTTAGCATGTCAAAAGCAATAAATTTTCCTTTTCATTTAATAACATAGTATGCTTTGTCTTAGAATTAATGGAATGCCTCTGTTTCTGTCAATACTTCCTTCTTAGAGTTTTTTTTTTTTTTTTTTTAACACTTAACATGGACAGTGATGCATATCTCATATTCCAAGATGCACACGAGTTTTGGGCATGCAGCTTCACAAAATTGAAGGCATATATGCCTAAATATCTATACAATTGTAATTGTCTATAGATATGCAATAAAATGTGTTCATTTGAGTAGCTTGGCTTGTCATTACTTCCTATTCTTTTTTATTTGGTACATATTTTTATTGATTTATTCAGATATTTGACATTATATTCTTGGTTATTGTTTGAACTTTTTGGAATTATTGAGAGAAACACTGACATAAGTTCACATTGAAAGATGATAATGAGTCTTACGGCATATTAACAACATTGCTAAAGGTATTAACTTTCTTAGAAAGGAAAATTAGGAGAAAAAATGAATTGCCAATGTGAATCTCTATTTCGCTTCACTCACAATGTTTCCAATGCCTCTTTGATTCACTATTCTCTAAATACAATATTGTAGCAAAGACCTAAAAATTAGGAAATGCTGAAGGGTGTGAAAGCAGTTGCTGGAAACACAAGTCATATGAGGTATTGTCTTCATTAAGTGACTAAGTGACTATGTTGGACATTTCCTTAATTTCTGTTTAGAGTTACAAGTAGCCATGTAGTGCTCAAAATGCTTGGTGAATTGATTTTAGGCTGCTGAGTAATAGCACACTGTTTGGCCTCCAGTAAACCTTATTTTAAACTTTGGATATGCACCTGGGGGATAACCTTTAAGAATGAATGTGTTGATAGCATGTATGTTGAGTATTATTTATTGATTTATTCCTGTATAAATCGAAACATATTAGTAAGAATCAGAGTTTGAACTGCTTGTAGTTTGTATGATATGAGTGCATATTTAGAAAAGATTCATGATTTTCTGTATGCGCTTTGGTTGTGGCCTGCAGTCTGCTGAAATGTTAAAAGTGTGTTGCTTAGAACATGGGAAATTCGGACGGATATATGATGAATGGTATCACCCTCCCCTCCAAACACTTTCGAATATGAGCCAAATGGTAGGATTTGACTGTATGCAAGTTATTCATTATGCTTAAAGGTTAAAGCATCATCTCCTGAGAAAGATACTTGCCTCGAATAAGCTGTAATTGCTTAACATTTTTCTTTTTTTGGTATTAGAAGAGTGATTTCATCGACATTGTCGCAAAACCATCTGTTTGAAATGGGTGAGGATGCTCTTAGGCCTATAAATCAAAGGTTTTTCTCTATCTAATAGATAAGTTTTTTGGATTGAAAGTGTGGATTCATTATTAGTGGTTTTAGAGTTTGAAATAGATGAGGATTCTTGAAGTTATAAGTTAAGGGGTTTTTCTTTTTTCACTTAATAGGTACTTCATTTGGGTTGAAAAAGTGGACCCTAACAATACACATCCCACTTCTAGTCGTTGTGGTTGAATTATTGCAGTCAATTCACAACTCGCTACTGATTTTAATATGTTGGAGCAATCTCTAATTAAAAAAAAAAAAAAATCCGAGGCAAATACCCAGACCATCAAAATCCTACTACTGTTTGTACATAAATTTCAAGGCGATTAGCTAGGATTGGACATATTTTAGCGTCAATTCTCAAACCCCTAAGCTAACAACCAATTAGAATCTACAAATCCGTGAATGCCAAACGAATCCATGAACAACAATTCAGTAAAAAGCCAACACCTCCTTCAAGCGTACCACCACCACCATAGCAACCCCAAACCTTATAACCACCTCCCTTAATACCGACCCATTAAAGACAAACCCTTTAACAACGGTGCTAGAACCCGTGGAGCCAATTTGCCAGCCAGGAACAATAATCTTGTTCTTCAAATATTAAGGTTAAGTTCTCAAATTATGAAGAGAAGGGAGAGGGGAATGGTGTTGGTGGCAACTAAATCACAATTTGCAGCTCTTAATGGCGATTAGAAACCCTCTGCGCCCTCTTTCTCTTGAATTCCCCTCAAATTCTTCCTTTTAAATTCACTGGAAACACCAATTTTAATTAATTTTTTTGATGCATCAAGTAAAGTTGATTAAATAATCTGAACCTCAACAAAAAAAAAAAAAAGAAGGAAAAGACTAAATAATTGAAGCCCTATTGAATTTGACAGAGTGAATGAAAGCTTCAGTAGCCATGCGGATGTGTGTAAGGATATGTTTGTACTTTCAACATTCCAACATGCCCTTGCATTCCATCCCTTTCGTATTGCTTCCACATTGCCTGCTCCTCTACCAAAAACTTGTGCTTCTTCTCCATGTCTGACATTTGCACGTATGACGGTGGCGCCACCACAAGCGACGCCGCGAATGGATCACCACCGTTTGTTCCTGTGCTTTTACCGTCGGATGATGGGGGTGCCGGTAAGGCTAGCGCTGCTGGTCTTCCGGCTGATCCAAATGTAACGCTACTAGCACTTCCGGTTGCTGCATAACCTGATGAAGCCATGGCCGCCTTTGTTTGGCCATATTGGTACATGCCATCAAGTAATAATATGTCGAACCCACCTCCAAGTGTTGCTCTCTGTTTGGTGAGGTTGCTTGCTGATTGAACCAAGGCTGATTCCCAATCAGCTTCATCCTTGAAAGCTTCCCATCCTAGACCTGGTGGAGGACCGGCTGGTGCACCACCATCAAACAAAGCCAATGCCAATTTGTCTGCGTGGTCTTGACTTGACATTGCGTCCTCTCCTAGGTTCAATAAATCACCCTCTTGTTGCACAACTATAGACTTGGAATTATCTTCTTCCTTTTCTTTCTCTGGTTCTTCCTCAACAGGGGCTTCAAAGAAATCTTCTGAGCTTGGTAAGGCCTTAATGGCATTCATGTCTTCTTCACTTGCTTCTGGTTCTTTAAATTCCTGGTCTGATTCATCCTTTGGTTCATCCTGGATTCCCGCGCCTTGCTCCAATGCAGACTTTTCACGGATAAATTCATCGATAAGGTTGAGTTTATTCTGTGTAATTTTCTCAATTTCGGGATACTCAGAAGATCGTGCAATGCCGACACTCCTGCACCAGGAATAGAAATCATCAAGTTCATCAAACTGCTTTGCTTCACGGCAGAATATATCATAGATTTTTATGGAGTCAGAAATATCAAGCTCCATAAAACGGTCAATTAAAATGCCCAATATTTCTGTTATATCGTAATATATCTGGAAACTTTCTTTCACTACTGGGTAAAGAGCCACAGTGACGACCCTGTTGCACCTTGCTGAACCTGTTTCAATCCAACAAAATCAAATAGATTCAAATCTTCAGGCCAATTATAAAAGTAGGAACCTCTCCGAATTAAGAAATGTTAATGCCTGATATACACAAACCTGTTGGTCGACAGGCTAAGAAGCGCTCGAGGAGCTGCTGCAAATGCTGCAATCTTGAAAATATATGGTCAGTCTTCATCTCACGGACTGCTGTGGATCTGATAACAATTGCCTTATCGTTATCTTCCTCTTCTTCATTATATCCATACGTGCTCCATTTCCCACGCCTATCTTGCATCTTGTATTCCAGTCTTTCATCAAGGTACAGTGCATAAGTACGCACAAATGCAGAAAAATCCCAGGAATTGGATCGTGAAGTATCACGAAAATCTGACATGTTGAGAATGCGAGTCCCACGCCTTGTTGAAAAGAAGATCTCTTGTTCGTACGCTGGATCACCTTCGGACAGAAGGCGGTGTATCAACATAAGAGTTTTCAGCGCCACTGTCCAGTTTTTGGTCTTGTTGAGGCGTCTTGAGAGGGTGTCGACGCAGGCACTGATGTAGGCACGTGAATACGAGGTTAAACTGAGTATTTCTCGAATGTGTCTCTCCTCGGGTGGGTATTCTTCGTGTCTTGTTGCCTTAACAATGGCAACATCTAGGTCGGACAGTGAGGTGCTGCCGCCAACTTTGGCCAGGCTTATGCTGGTCTGGTCCTTGACATGCCCAAGTGCTCTTTTGATCTTGCTTGGAGCCATGGGTTTAGGTTATTAATTAAGTACCCCAGTTAACTCGAATGGTAGCTTCTGCTTTTAACAGGCTCGACTTTTATTCGACCTTTCACAAGGGCGAATAAATAAACCTGGTAAAATTCATCAATATTTGTTATGAAAAAAGTGAAACGATATCCAGAGTCTAGATTGTTTGAGGGTAAATATGAAAATTAATGCTGAGAATCATGGAAGACATAAACAATGTCTGCGCTTAATTTCGAAGATCTTTAGTGAGCAAAAATCCCAAAAGAGAGTTAAAATTCCCAGCAACAATACGGGAAGAAAGGAAGAGAGACGAAAGAAGAGAGGAGAAAATTTTTCTCCTCTCCTCCTGTAAAGCTTTCTCCTACCCTGCTTCACCATCTTTACCTTTTTTTTTTTTCGTCTAAATCAAACATTATCCGCCTTTATTTCCCATTATTTTAGCATGAACAAGAATACTTTCTATGGGAGATATTTAGCCATATGGCAAAAGCTAATTGGCTGCTGCCAAAGAAGACTTAAAATTTGTAGACAGAAAATTTATCTTTCAGTTGTGCCAAAGGAAATTCTCGGCAGGTCTGGTTTGTTCAACCCTTTGACCTTTTCAGATTTGCATGGACCATAAAAGAAAATGCTTCAGGCCTATAAACATCGAAGTGAAGCAGTTGACAGGAAAGAATTGACTACTCTACAGTATTGGAAGTTATAACCGACTGCTAGCATAAAATAATAATTGCAAGACAAGCAAGCTCTAAATAAACACAACACCTTTAAATTTTTACAACAACGTTATTCATCATGTATTATTATAAGAAAAATACCCATAGAGGTCATAATTTTATTCTAAACAACTAAGAACTCAGATGACAGTTTTCCTTCCAAATCCAAGCATGAAATCTACAATTCAGTAACCAGCATCATAACTAGAATACCAGAAACATTTTCCACCAGTTATTACAGTTATGAAAGTAGAGTTATAGCCACAAAATATTACAGATATTTGCAACTGGGGGGCAAACTCAATCCCCCAAAACACAGCTTTCCAAGTTTGGCAAACCTGCTCCAGCTGGCTTCTTTATGGAGACACCCAATGTCATTCCAACAGAGACTAGCGTCTCAAGTGATCTTCCACTGTTAACTATGAGGTCATCATCTATCTCAATTGCATCCTGCAAAACAAAACACAACTTACAAGCATAAATGATGTGTAGTAAAGTCACGCTTGTAGTCTCATACATGACAGAAATTAGTAATAATAAACCAAATCAGTACTAAGGATATATGTAGTGCCGAGGCCTGAATCCCTTTTTTGAGACAGTATTAGATTGTCTAAGAAGTTTAAACCATGTACATAAAATGATAAGTATGAATGTCTAAAACAAACAGTCATGAACAAACAAAAAAATAAAATTAATTAAAAAACTAAACTATTTGCAAAAATGGAAGTTTTGAGGAAAATAAATATAGTTTCGGTCCTTGCCAAACAACCCTAGCTGGCGAGGGCTATGTCCTTATCATTATGGAGAAAGAGGGTGAGATTTGAGAGCCAAAAAAAATCAGCTGAGGTATAATATAGCGTTGCAGCCAACTTTCTTTGTCAACAAGTAACAGCATACATATACCAACCTTTTCAAAGACACAGATCACTGTGCTCCCCCCAAAAGAGAAATATCCAAACTGTGGATAGAACAAATGAATTGCCAATTAAAAAGTATGACATTTTACAGAAAGATAAACATTAATGAAATAAAAAATAAAAAATTCAGAGAGTCAAAATGTGCCATAGGTACTTGTACTCTATGATTTTTGAAAATTTAATCCTTCTAATATAATTTAAAGAAATTTAGTCCTTGTATTATTACTTTTTAAGAATTTTAGTCCAATCGTTCCCAATGTTAAATTTTATCCGTTAAATTGCTGATGTGATTGCTGACATGGCATTTTCATTTGTTTTCAAAATTATTAATATTTATGTGAATTAAAATAATGGTCATGTGGACTACAAAAATCCACATAAGCATTACCAAATAATTTTAAATATTACTTAATAATTTCTAATATCATTAAAAAAAAAACCTGAAAATCAAAACCAAAAAACAGAAAGAAAAACCGTGAAACCCAAAAACAGAATGAACCCAAATTCTTTGTTCTCAAATTATTCGTTTCTCATTCGTTCTCAAATCCCAAATCGAAATCGTGAAACCATTCCCCACAACCATATACGCTACCTAACCCATCACCCACCAATGACAACACACCACCGAAACTGTCAAACCAACCCACAGTACCAGCGCCCCATCAGCCAACAAAACGCCCATCACCAACAAGCAACCAAAAAAAAAAACACACACATCACATGGGAGGGGAGAAGCAGCGCCAATACACACAATATATATATATATATATATATATATATATATAACATAGCCGCTTTGGTTTCAGAAAGAGACAGCTTCGTGGGTTTAAAGGTGTTCTTAGGTGGGTTTGGTTTGGATTTATAGAGGAGTTAGGAAGGAGCAGCAAGGAAAGAAAAAGAAGGGGGGCCACAGCCGGCGTTAGGAGCGGCAAAAGTATATGGGAGGTCCATGGCAGCTAAAATTTTGGAAAAGGTAGAAACAAAGAACAACATATCAAAATCTTAGGAGGATCGGAAGGTGGAAGGAGGAGATTTTGCAGCTTAAAGTTTCAGTTTTAGATTACAGATCTAGGTAGATCTAGGTCATTTTGGAAAAACCTTAGCTTGAAACGGAGAAGAGGTTTTTTTTTTTTTTTTAAGGGAATGAAATAAAAATAATGATATTTAGATGGTAAGAAAACTTATCTACTGTTTAAATGGTTAATGTGGCCAATATGTTAATCCATGTCAGCATAAAAAAATTATAAACCAATGAAAATGCCATATCAACAATCACGTCAGCCATCTAAACGGATAAAATTTAACACTATTAATGATTGGACTGAAATCCTTAAAAAATAATAGTACAAGGACTAAATTTTTTTAAATTAGACTAGAGAGACTAAATTCCCAAAAATCGAAGAGTACATGGACCTATGACACATTTTGACCAAAATTCATGGGGTGCTAACCTCATCTCCCTTTTTGACAATGTCACCTTCCTTCTTCACGAAAGTAATGCTACCAACCATAGTTGCTCCAATTGCAACAAATGCCACCTGCAGTATGGAAAGGGAGAAAATCATATTCTTGACATTTGGTACAAAAAATTTTGCTTTTTGATAATAGCCATAAGAGGGTGATAAATGAAATAGTCATCCAAAGAAGGCAAGAGGTTATGGTCCTAAAAATATAATGTATCTATGCGTCTATGCCATGCAGAGCCTTGAGCCACACCAGAATTTCAAAAACATATAAAAGGAGAAAATCATATTCTTGACATTTGGCACAAAAAAATTTGCTTATTGATAATAGCTATAAGAGGGTGATGAATGAAATAGTCATCCAAAGAAGGCAAGAGGTTGTGGTCCTAAAAATATAATGTATCTATGCGTCTATGCCATGCAGAGCCTTGAGCCACACCAGAATTTCAAGAAAATATAAGTAAGAGATTCACAGTCAACTAAAGCATAGAGACAAACCTTTCCAAACTCTTCAGTAGAAATAATGGACACCACTCGTTTATTCTCTGTGAAAACATTACAATATTTGCTGTTGACAGCAATAGGATTAACCTAGGAAATGGAAATATGTAAACAAAGGGGAATCATGCAAAAGCCACTAGTAAAAAACAAGACCCATAAAATGAAAAAGAAAGAAACAGAGGCAAGAAAAAAAAGAAACTAATCCAACATGTGCTAAGGTACATTTATGCACTTACAGTGTATAAGCATCCAGGAATGTTTACAAATTGCTCGATGGTGCCAGAAACTGGAAAATGAAACCTATGATAGTCCTGTTACAAGGATAAAGGAGACAGAGTTTAAAGAACAAAAATCAGATAAAACAATTTTAGGTTATTTCATGTTACAGTAGTAATACTGAAGGAGCTTGCACCACCAACCTGTGGGGCCAACCTGAATATCACCAAAGTTCCATCAACAAAAGCATTTGAACAGATTTCTTTCCCCAGAAGACCTTGAATCGAAAACTTTCGACCCTAAAAATTGCCGATACAAAATTAAAGTGTGTTCCTAAGATATTTTCCGAAAAGAGAGGAAAATTAGAGAGAAAAGAAAAAGAAGAATAAAAGCATATAAAACACTTGGTGGGATAGCATAAGAGGACTTGATATTTGGCTTAGCTGTAGTTGGTGAAAGGAAGGAGATAAGATTGTTCTATGTGAGGGTCTTGATCTCATGTATCAAGCAATATACAGAACTCAATGTTGACAATGCGGTTTAATATAGCAATTTTTCCTCTTAGTAAACTAGTATGAATCAAGGAAACTGAAACACTAAAAATTTAAAACAAAAACAATGGAGGTAAATCATACCTTGATCCAAAATCGTAGACTATCTTGTACTGATTTAAAAGCCATCAACCGACTATCAGCAGCACATACTGCAACATCATCACGCTCCAAGGAAGCAATTGGTCTTGCTCCAGGCTTTAGCTCTCTCACGAAAAATTCATTAAATGTCTGAGACAACAAAATATAAGTTAATGCTGCCAAGAACCAGCAAATACAAAAAAATAAAAGAGAAGTTCCGGCAATGTTATCATAAATCATGCCGCCACTTATTATAGAACCTAAATTAACAAGAACCAGGGGTTAAATTGCAAGTTATGTTCCTATTCTCTCTCAGTCCAGCTAAGGATGCATCCAGAATAAAGAGAGAGAATCCTTACATACAAACAAACCGATAGTCATAGAGCAAGCAAAGTTCAATTCAACTCGAAGGGGGCATCAAGTATGAATTTCATCAATTGTGGAAATATGCATGGTACTCAGTAGCTTGGTTAGAAGGAGAGAGAGAAAGAACTAACATCCTCCATACTAATAAGCCCATAAAACTTGGTTAAGTAATTAGTCTTTTGTTTAGTAATATTATTGAATTATTTGTGTATAAGCAAAAAAACAAAACAAAACAAAAAAACAAAAGAACCAAAGAAGACAAAAGGAGCAGAACCTCCAAGAACAAATTTATTCATTAGGTTAGTAGTTTTTGGTACTTTAAATTTGGAACAGCACAGAAATTTTGGTAAGTAAATGAAAATTAATGATGCCTAGAATAGGTTGTATTATTTATAAGAAGAATCAACTTTATTCGTTCTACTTGAGCTTCTTCATAAACATTGTCACTAGAATACCAGTTAGGATTTACAGCATGGATTGGGCACACTATAAATTCATAAGAGGTACCCCAGCCCTTATTACTTATCTACCCACTGAGATTTAAGTCCACAAGGGGTAAAGGCTCAACTACAGGAAGTGGTAGGGGGGAGATGTTTGGAGTCCTAGGGCAAGGAAACCAAAAGAAGAAAAACTATATGAATTTAACAACTTACCTCAACAAGAAAGAAAAAGAATTCAAATTTTGGTGATATAGAACTTTACCTTAAAGTGCTCCAAAGGATACTTGACTTCAGCCATATTGATTTGATCCTACAATACCATAGTTAACTTATATAAGAACACAACACAAACTTCTAAAGTAATGGATTTTTAGCTTGTCCATTTCAAAAAGTCAAAGGAAAACCATATCACAATCATTAGGCAGTATATTATATTACAAAGGAATTCAGGGAAGCCTAAAATATCATTTAAGCCTATAACCAAGCATCATTTAGACAGTATCAATCAAAGCAACATACTTATAAATTCTCCTGATCAAAACCTTAAAACAGTCATCAAAAAAGTCAAAGCTATCACGGCAGCATTGCAATGGTTTCTTCAATAAAACAGTATCACACCTCAAAAAATTCAACAAACTTTGATATATCTTTAGCAGATTCAACTGAATTCATCTGTCTTCCTTGCCTCTCTGAGATGCTTTGCAAGATCTCCTTTGCTCCTGCATCCAAATGGCCCACCAAAAGATTATAGATTAGAGACATCAGTTTAGCCTTCAAATTTTGGGTGTCAGCTGGTTCATAAAATTATTTAAAATTTAAATCTTATTTAGATAGGCTGGATAATGAAATAAATTAAGCACAACTACAAGTTTATACATCTGTTACCAAATGGCAAAAAGTTCATAGTTTTATTGAGTCTAATATTTTATCTGTTACAGAATATTTGGTAGTGATAGAGCTAAAGGAACCGTAAAGATTAATGAAGTTAAGGCCCATGAAACTGGATAAGTGGGAAACTCCTGAAGCGGATGGACATTCTTGTTTTTGGCAAGGATCATAATCAATTTAGGATGAAAAGGAGTAATGTATTCATATAAGAATGATAGTAAAAGCAAAATAAAGGTAAGCTCATATATATGTTCCCTTTCATTCCAAGTAACCATCATATACAATGCATTCCTTAATTAGATGTACAAAAATGAGTGTCAAATCATGAATATCAATACACCAGACTTGTACCATTTTGTAATATATCTTTAACAAAGAAAACAATGAACAACCTCTCTATATTTCAAATATTTGAAAGAATTGGGAATTATAATCATAACAAAAGAATGTGACACTGAAATATCCCCGCATGAAATTGAAATTGGGCAAAGGGGTACAAGATTAATGCTTATACTTTATCTAAATATGTGGCCCAAACAAACAAAATTTTCAAAACTATCACTCTTATCACATGAAATCCCACCATAACAAGTTATTTGTTAATAACTGTTTAGATGAATTTCAACTAAAGGCATAACATACATCAATGTGTAAAGCGAAAAGGCATACCTTTATCTATAAGGCCAAGTCCTATTTTTGACTGGTAAATGGCTCTCATTGACAGAACAATCTTTGCATCGATTAGTTCTTCTACCAGCCTCTTTGTCTTTCGATCACAGACCTAAAGCAACAAACTGTTAAAAGAAAGATAACATGTAGAGAAACATCTTCAGGAAGTACTGATGTGATTCAATAGCACCAAGAAATCACCAAAAACTAGCAGATCAAGAATGAGATTTTTTTTAAAAGAAAAATAAAACTAAGAAAATGTACCAAAATATGTGAAGCACTTGATCCAGAGTTCAAACCAACATCGTATGATGAAAAATGGGCCCACTCACTTAGTTTGAACATCCACCTACAAAATTACAATTTGAACTTACCATTTAAGCCATGGGAATAAAGTTCAATGATTACACTAAGAAATTTCAAGATTATATTACAAAATCACAAAGTTGAAGGATGAAAATACTCACCCATATGAGGCCTGTTTCTCAGTCAAGAACCCTCCCGTCATGACCTGGTTACCAGTTCCTTCGTCGAAACACAAAGTCAAATGAACCACAGTGTTCAGCTTATCAGAGACTTCAACTATCTCACCACAGACAGGGCAGCAATTCATAATAGGCTCTCTGCAATACAGGAATATAGTACACAAAAAGAACTGGCAATATTTCACATCAAGTTTCTGGTGAAATTTGCAAGATGAATACAGAAGACAATGTAGATGGAAAAGCACTTCTAAGACAAACACCTTGTCTCACCATATATGCAGAGTACCTCAATATGCAAGTCAGCTTATGATGTCAAATAAAGTACGTCAATATCATTCATAATTTAACTTAGGCTAGAGGCATTACTTTTCTTGTTGAAGAGCAAGAAGTTCAGCCAACTCATCCATGCTCACAACACCGTCCCCATTTTTATCTGCGGCTTTGAAGAGCTTCTCTTTCTAGCAAACCAGTGCAAAGATAAGGTCACGAAATGAAGTTCCATGAAGAGTTAATACCCAATTGTATCATTAAGATTTGATGACCTAAATAGATGATTTTTAATAAATAATTCCAAAAGGATAAACCACAGATGATGTGAAGATATAGATAATTACCCCCCCCCCCCACCTCCCAAAAGAAAAAAAGAGACAGAGAGAGGGGCAGATAAGGAATTTGAAAAATGACAAGCAAGCAAATTTCTTGGAGAATAAATTGTGAATTGTATCATTTGGATTCAGGTAGGAGGGGAAATTTTTATAGAAAAACAATCAGATGCACAGAAACATGTGGAGGATACAGACCACAAACATGAAAAACCAAGCTTGCAGCTTTTAAGCTGCAAAACATTTGGGTTTAACTTAAAAGGTTGCCATGATGATTAGACAAGACAACTTAAAATTTGGAACTCATGCCCCAAATGCAAATGCCCAGCTCTAAAAAAATTAAATAGGACAACCCATTTTATCAAGGAAAATTCACTGCAACACCGTATAAAAGAAAAAGTAGTGCAAATAAACCACTTCAGCTGAAACCTTGCTAGCTGCCACATTATTGCCAAAAGCATTAATTAAGTCGGAAAACTCAGAGAACGAAAGCTTTCCATCTTCATTGTAGTCCTGAATACATATAAGGCAAGAGTTTTAATACAAGAACTAGAAAGTTGCATTCACAGTCCAAGATATACTTGTCATAAGAACTAAGAGCAATATCTCCAAAGTTTCTAAGCACATAAATGGAAAGGTTAGATTAGAACTTAAGAGCAAACTGACTTGCAACCATTAGGATTTTATTTTAGTTATAGTTTTAAAAGCCACGGTTAGCTACACTTGTACCAGTTGAGTTTGGATCAAACCAATGACATATAAAACTACATACTTATCATGTGAAGAACAACCAGAAGAACTGTAGGAATAGAGAAAAAGAAATGAGAAGAAATTGGATTTAAGGGTGTTACCATTGTATTATAGTACCACACTATATAAAGTCCTATTATTAGTAACGGCTTCGTTTTTCCCTTTCTCACCCTAATCTACTGATCTTGAACACAAAATAAATCCAAAAAATGGAAAAAATAATGCACATCTTACACAACTAAACCCACCACATAACATTCATGTTTTTTTTAACCTATCCTTAAGATACAAATGCTTTAGTAATTTCTCAGATACACAATTTCATAGCTAAGAGATAAACATCAATGACTACATTAAGACCTAACATTTTCCAGTAATATTTATAAGCAAATAAAATGTGGAATTAAAAACAGATTATTAAATATGACTTACCATTATTGATAAAATTCGTCTTGCAAAATTTTTCTCTGTTTCTATTGGATCCTGACAGTTTTTCCAACTAGATGTTAGAAATAATTATCATAGTTCCAATCAACTTTGAGAATTATTTGTTACATACTGCACACCTCAACATTACAGGAAAGACATATATGGCCAACAACTTTGTCAGATGATACAGGATCAAGCAGGTCAAATGTCTCGAGGTCAGAATCTGAATCCTGAAATGAAGAGTTTTATGCAATGAAGTTATCCTGAACAGCAATATATAAAAAGATATTCAATGAGAAGACCACTCACCTGTGTTAGATAGTCAAGTAAATTGATCTCACAGTACCCAATGAGATTATTCTTTGATAATCTATTTGTCTGCACCAAATGGACATATTGACAAATAGAGTACAGCGTGATATGAAAAGCAAAAATGAAGTTTAGTAAAATAAATGAAAATTCACTTTTAGCTTGTTGCACACACCTCAAATACTGAGATTCTAGCAACACGAGGTCCATTTCTTTCCAAAAGAAGTTTCCTCTCCTGTCATAAGATTAAATCATGTGTCAGATGACAGAAGCAAAAAGTACAAACTGGGAATATCAATTCCATATCATGACATTCATGAAATAGATTAGCAGCTTTGAATGACTGCCAGCAACATTCAACTGGTCATTTCGGACAAACAAATACAGAAGAAATTTTACAAGCTACAACTACTGCAAGGGCAATGATAAAGCATTTCATTCACTTCACAATTCGCTCATACCAGTAAAGAAGTAACATGGAGAAACGTGCGAACATCAATAAGGTTTAGAACACCTCCAAATGTAAACCAAAGACAGCAGCACATTTTCAGTTTAACAAAGTTAAGAACCAATCTAGCTCCCTTTTTACTAATTAAATATAGTAAACTGGAAATTAAAAAAAAAAAAAAGGAAAAATCCATATCAAATAATGAATATGTGCAGCTCATTCCACAAAAATATGCGAATTTGATTGATCAAATAGCTGGATTTTCCTCTCTTTTTTTCCTCATATTTTCTTTTTCAAAATGCTGAATATCCATCAGTACAGATTCAGTTCCTAGCTAACAACTAACATAAAATATCACAATGATCACATCTTTAACATGCTCCCTAGCTAACGCTACTGAATATCATTTTTGAAATGGCACCATAAATTTCACAAATTGGAAATAAATCAATGATTATTCAAATCAAATAAGATTAAAAATAGTATAAAATCATAAGTTTGTAGTTCAGAGTACTCACACAGTTCCAGATAGGTTTGTCTGTTCTGCACCACCAAAGGAAAAAAAAAAAAAAAAAAGAAAGAAAAATGTTAACATGCATTAAACTTGAAATGAAATGTCAAGCCCTAAAAATGTAAAAAATGTATCATCGAAGCTATCTGCAGCAGATCCACAGGAAATTTTTTTGCGTTCAACAGTAGTCCAAAATTGAAAAACACGGGCACCACTGAAAGGAACAAATTGCAAATAGAAGCAAAACAGTAGGTAAAGAAGAAAAAAAAATCAGAACTAATTTTTTTGTACGTAATAAGAATTTGGCAATGCTTAACTGATCAGAAATATTTGTTCGAAACGTTTGCTCCCCAAATGAAACACATGCCAGCCACTTGTCCTTAAACTTCATCTCCGCCTACAACCAAAGAGAGAGAGAGAGAGAGAGAGAGAGAGAGAATTAAACAAAAAAAAAAAAAAGAATCGCAGAAAATAATAGTAATAGGAAAGTAGACAGTGAATTATCAATACGTTAATCAGAGTAAGGAGAGCAATGCCAGAGAAATCCTCGGCGGCATGGAGTTTCTGATGAGGAGAAGACGCACTTGTATGGTGGTGATGACGGCGATGGAGATGCAGTTTCTGCTTCAGCCGAGAGATGCGCGAAGGTTTAGTATCTGCATCCGAAGAAGAAGAAGAAGAGTCGTCCTCCTTTGAGCTCCCGTGGCCCATACTCTCCGAACTCTAAAATCTCTGTCGTTTCCTTTCCTTTCCTCCGGCGTTTTGCTTTTTTTTTTTTTGGGTTAATAATTGGAAGAAAGATCGGACCGCGGAATATCCAGTATCCACAGAAAGTGGAAAAGTCAGATGGAGGCGATATTTTTTATGGTGGTTTAGTATCATTTCATTCCGCTGCGGGCCTGCGGCCCTGTGAACCTGCCCCTGCCCCGCTGGCAGTGGATGCTTGAAAGTGGATAGAATTATTAAAGGAAACTTCGTCGTTTAATAGTAGTGGATTTGGTGAGTGCTTGCAAATGGGACCTCCTTGTCTTTTTGTTACCCACGTGAGGGCAGAGCAACACGTATAAGTCAAACCATCTCTTTACGCCAAAACAAAAATTTAACCACCAAAAGCCCAAAGTGTATTGGAAAAGAAAAAAAAAGTAAAAGAAACAAAAGCGGCTTGGGTCACATTTTATCCGTAATTTTATATGGATTTAATAATTTAAAAAATAAAATGATGATAAGATATAAATATAATATAAAAATAATATAATTTAAAATTTTAATAATAATTATATTTATTTATTTAAAACTAAAAATATATATTTTAAAGTATAAATTATAACATATAATTTTTATATTAACACAAATATATTTTTATATTAATATAAATTGTAATATATATATATATATATAAAATATGATAAGAATATATGAATTTTAATATTTTACATGATAAAAATATATGAATCAATTAATCTAATCATTATATTTATGAAAAATTTTTTAAAAAATGATAAAGTAGATTTATAGCTTACAAAAAATATAAATATAATTTTACTGATTTTATTTGTCTAACAAATAAAAAAATCTAAATTACATATTTTTTATTTATTTTTACAAAAATAATATTAAGTGAAAATTATCTTATTTTAATAAATATTTTTTTTATTTTTAAATTATGTTATTCAATCTTATATATCTATTAATTTTAATGCAAAAATTACTCTAACAATTTAAGAACATTAATTAATTTAAATTTTATGTCGTTCACTTATTTATTTATATTAAAATAATATTTCATTATGTTTATTTTTATATTTTATTACATTTAAAATTTTTATAATTTATTTTTTTTATCTTACAATAATTTTAACTGTATTTTTTTATCGTCTGCCTTTTTTTTTTATTCTCTTGATAGGCCGGGCCCATCAGTTATTCGTGGAAAACTACTCAGCAAACACAGTTCGATGGACAAAAGATGATAGTAAAGCACCTTGGTGCTTAAAGAACTTCCACATGCAACAGCTCAAATCGAAGGTAAAATCAGTTCATATCATACAAATTTCAATGGAACAAAACACCATCGCTAATGGTTTCGCTAAATCTGGACTCCACAGAACGCGACCTGGCTCTCTTTTCCTAATTTTAAAGTTTATTCTTCTTTCTCTTTTAATTTGTATTTTTCCTTATCAATCATATATTCATTCCAGCTTTCTAAAAAAAAAAAAAACTCCATAAAGTTCAAGATTGAGATTAATTTGAAAAGAAGCATCATCTATGACTGCCCATAGAAGCCTTTATCTATATAGTCTGTCCTATAGGTGTTAGTTAAGTTACCAAGTTTGTGCATTCCATGCGTCAGATGGCAAAATGATTCATATATATGAGAATTATCAGCTCAACTTATTGCTCTTCATTGTCTTTTTTGTTTTTTTACTCTTTTTGGCCAATAATATTGCTCTCTTTTTTTCATCCCACAAGCTACTCTCTCACTCTTGATTGTCGAAAAACCATTCATTTTTCATCACTAGCCCTAGAGACATAGCTAAAGGTGAGTCGAGAGTTCAAGCGGTTAGCCCCAGGGACATAGCCATAGGAGAGTCGAGAATCAAGATCAGTTTAAATCGGTCATGTACTCCATCTTTTAAGGCAAATCTCCATTTACTTATATATGTTCTTTTTTCTTTTTTTTTCTAAAGTGTTTTAAAACTAATGTTTTTAGAATTATGTCATTTTTTAAAATATAATTTTATTTATTTTGGCTTTTTTAATCGAAAACCAATTATCATCAATTTTCTATCCAAAAAGATACTATAAAATTTAGATACAGCAGTTTGAAAATAATTTTTTATTAAATTACAAACCAAACGTGTAAACATCCAAAATTAATGATACTTCTAAATTAAGAGAGTTATAACACTAACAGTGGACCTACGGTCGCATCAAACATTCCCTTTCATCCCAACCAAATTTATTTTGCCACGTTAATTCACCACCTTAATTATATAACTATATAATCTAATGTTAATATATAAAATTTATACATTAACAAATATAAATGTACAAATAAATTGTATGAAACCCCAAAAATTAAAAATAAAAAATAAAAAAATTTAAAAGAATTTTTTTACTTGAATTTCTAAAAGTTTTGTTGGACACCTCAAAAATTTTTTTCTGAACATATCTTTATTATACTTAATTCCCTAATCACTCAATTCACTCTACTATTTAATATTCAGCTACAATTTACAATAAGCTAACACCCAACATTCAATAAATACCTACTTCTATCATAATATATAAATTCGTAAATTTATAATTATATTTAATAAATTAAAGAGTTATCATCAATCTTTTTTATTAAGTTAGATTGATCATGTAAGGAATCTATCTTTTTAAAGAGTTCTTAAGCTTGACTAAAGATTCTTAAAAAAATAGGTTCAAATTTATTAACCAAAATAAGATTTGAGAGTTCGATTATGAGTGAGAAAAATTATAATTTCCTCATAACGCCTATCAAAAGATAGTATAAGCTCAATTTCGTATTATCCATTAAGCTTTAAAAATTTTACCGAGTATTTAATTATTGAAATTATCTTTAATTAACTCAAATACTTTTAACAAAAAATTAAAAAAAAATTTTCACTTCAAAAGCATACAAGAAAATTACTGTTTCACTTACAGAAGTTTCATCGTTGGATTATTTAACATTAAAAATTTTTCAAAATGAATTCGACTTTTGATATAGATTTTTTTTGTTTTATAAGAAAAAAAACTCATGCTTTTATACAAAAAAAATTGATACTTTTAACTTTTCTTTAAAAATATTATTTAGAAATTTTTATTTTCAAGAAAAATTAATACTTTCAACTTTTCCTCAAAAAATATTTTTTAAAAATTTTTATTTTCAAGGAAAATTGATACTTTCAACTTTTCCTCAAAAAATATTTTTTAGAAATTTTTATTTTAAGGAGATTATTAAAAATTAAAGAATATTTGAATAAATTATTTTAATTTAATTCATAGATAAATTGGCAAAATAATAATAATAATAATAATAATAATAATCATATTAATAGATAAGACAAAAAAAAACAAAAAATATATAAAAAACCCTTGGAGCGGCTCGGCTTAACAGTTAAAATGACTCGACTTAAGGCACAAAAGCGACTAAAAGATGCTTGTTCAAGAGGTTTGGCTCGATTCGGCTCTACTAAACCAAAGGCAGGAGCGCGAGTTCGCAAACTAGGGTAGTCACTTAGGTCGGGTCACCTGCTAGCAAAATACGCGGATCCTAAATTTATTAATGCTCAAAACGATGTCATTTTACGATACTATAAAATGTTCATTTCGACCTTTTTTAGCAGAGTTCTCTTTCTCCCTCTCTTTCTTCTCCCCTTTTCTCTCCCTTTCTCTCTAAGTTTCCCCAAAAACATCAATTGAATCTCGTCGAATTTTGAAAAATCTTATCGAAATTTAGATTTTTTGTTGAAAGTTCGTCAGAAAGTTCGTCAGAAAGTTCAACGATTTCTGGAGACGTGATGACGAAAACTGGAGAACTGGTTGGAAAATGGGGAGGTTGCAGGAATCCCGTCAAAAAATTTAAACGGCGCCAGAAAATTGTTCGGAATCTGAGAAATTTTTCAAAAAATTTTTAGAAAAAAAAATCAAAAAAATTCTTAAAAATTCTAAGATTGCTGCTAACCCTCCCCAGAAACTTTTTTTGACTTTTGCCTTGTGTTTTCTGCTCTCCCTCGTCTCTTGCTTCTGTTTTTCCCTATTTCATATGTTTCCTCCCTTTTTTCTTTATTGTCTGTGTGAGTATTTATAAGATCAGAGCCCTAATCCGAACAAAAATTTTAACTTAACTCAAATTCAACCACATAATCTCAATCAACCTCAATTTCTCATTTTCTTATTTTCTCATTTTTTTCAGCTTTTTTATTATTTTATTATTTTTTATATTAACAAAAATCAAATACAAACCTCCGAATAAATTAAAATATCTACAACTACAATAAATGAACATCTTCAAAAACATTTTAAATCCATTAATTGAATAATAATATATTAAATATAAACTCTTCTTTTGGATAGTTAAGCAAAACTTGAGTTTTTATGTTCCCTTGAGTTATTGGAGCTCGCGAACTCTTTTGGAGTAATAGGATAAGGTTAATAACAAGGGTCAGGCATGAAATGGTTTTTGGTGCTTATTTGTACAGTGGAGTTGAGATCGAGAGAGTGTAAATGTATTAACACGTGCGGGATTGGAAAGCGTGCAACTGCTTGCATCATACATGACTGAATGCTTCTCTAAGCAGCCACCCACAAAAAAATTGTTGCGTAGCATTGTGACACAAGACAACTACCAAATACCATCAAAGTGGAAAAAGCTAAAAAGGCTACAAAAGGGGGAGGAGAGGAGAGGAGAGGAGATGGGGAGGGGTTGAAGGAATGGGGAAATATTGCTCCATGCCCCAGCAAGCCTTACAGTGCTCTTTGGGCTCCACCTCTCCCCCCCCCCCCCCCCCTTCCCTGTAATCGTTGCTCGTGAGAATTTCACGAAAGGGGTTGCAAATCAATACTTACAACATTCTATACTTTTGAACTTAAAATTTAATTCAATTAATTTATATAATTATTTAAAAAAATTTTAAATCCAACACCTATAAATTTTTCTTTTATTCTCTCCTCCAAAAAAAAGATGCTACTACTACTGCACAAAAAAATATAACTGTGTCAAAGTGCACACATTTTCCATTCAATTTATCTCAACTGTCGACACTTGTAAAATAGAAAAACGCCCCGCAGGTTTTCCAGCACATTGTATTTCGATTCATCTAATCTTTTCCAACATAATTTGTGGCTGTCCTTGCGGAATGTTTGGTCCACCATTCCCGACAAGTCACTATAACTTGGAAATATTATACAAGCAGGGAATTTTCCATGCTTTGTTCCAGAAAATATAATGCCTATAGTCTATAGAATACTTGCTATAATAATTCCAGTTCCCTAGAAAAACATTAATGTCATTCTACATTTGGATAAAGCTTCATAATGGAATTAACCCTAAGATCTCAAAATATTCCTCCCATGACCCATCTAGTTTAATGGCAAGCTTATTTCATCCAGGTCATCCAAGGATAGAAACACTTCATCCAAGCACGACAGTTCTGTTCCGTCATCTTCATCTTCAGTACAATTTCTTTCATAAACTCGACAGACAACCCATTTGCTATAATCCTAACATCACACAAATTAAGAAAAAAAAAAATACAAGTCAATCATATTAAAGAAAAAAATAAAACTATGGCAGAAGAATAGAATTAGTAGGCAAATTAAAAGTCAATGTGGGCAAAGGGATATATACTAACTATTTTGGAATGTCCTCTACGTTTGGATGATCTACTGCTGCTAGAATCACAATCCGGTAGACGATATTCTTGCATGATCCAATTGGTTTTGATGCCAGCCGGACCTTCTCCAATGTAGAAAACGAAATACTTTTTCATGCCAACATTCTTGCTACTGCTACTATTAACAACAGGTTCATCTATTCCCATTGGCTTCCAGTACCCATTGCTTGTATTCCTGTTTTGCGTCCTTCTACTGTAGAAGTACCACTGGTTGCCCTCAGCCAAAGCTTTACCTATCAAGAACATTAAGTAATAAATTTCAACCACATATTAATTAAACACTAACTCTGATACAAAAATATAAATTAATTAGTTGTATGTATATATGAATATACCTACCATCAAGTTCCCAGGGATCATAGGGATAGAGTTCAAGATCAGGGATGACATCAGGGTGGCAAGGCAAGAGGGCGGCCTTACGTTGAAGGAAATGAACGACAAGCTCTTCATCAGTAGGATAGAATCTGAAGCCTGGAGGCAGATTAACGTTGCTATTATCTCCCATCTCTCTCTCTCTCTCTCTCGATGTATCCAATAATGTATAAAGCAGTATAACAATGAAAAAAAGAGAATAAGAAGAAGGAGAAAAAGAATAGTGAAGAAGAAGGATTTGGAGTGGGTGTTATTTATAGTGTGGGAGAGGAATAAGAAAAAAGAAAGATAGGAGAAAAAGAAAGCAAAAAAAGAAAACGAAAATCAAAAAGAAAAGAGAGAGTGACGTGAAAAAGAAGGTGGGCTTCATCACAACTCAGGAATAAAGAAGTTGATGATTTTGGGTGCTCTCAACTCCTCCAAACTTCCCCAAGGCGGCGGGCAACGGAACGCTTTGCATACTTTTAAGTAACCGCATCTGTTATTAGCTTAGCGACTATATGATATGGAGGGAACTGGGAAGGGAAGAAAAAGGGGAGATTGAGTTATGTCGTACGTGGCAGATTCAACCTTTTCCATGGAAAAAAAATATTTGTTGTCAATTAAACAGAAAGAAATTAAAAAAAAAAATGATGATGTGGGTGGGCCATCATCATACTTCATGCTTATATCATGCATTTGCTGTCATACACGTGGCACACATGAATATGGGTTTGGTCGTGGCGCATATATAAAAACTTTAATGGACCCATAGCTTGGTTTAGGAGTGTGCCTATATACCAATAATAATAATTATCATAATTATTTTATACAAATAAATTACTCATTTTCTCAAAAAAAAAAAATTACTCGTTTGGCATGCCCCTTTTCCTTTTTTTTTTTAATAATAATTTTCTTTCAAATTCATCTCCCAAGAAAACCGCAATCAATTGTTTGACAATTGAGATCTGCAAAGAGAGAAAAAAAAATTGCTAAATGTAAACAGCAATCAACCAATTCCTTGGGAAGGGAGTTCAAGTGATATTCAATGGGATCAGAAAAAAAAAAGATAGCCCCCACAGTTATTTAAATAAGTAACCAATTATTAAATCTTAGAAAAGAAAACAAGCTGAGAAGAAATGATCAGAGAAATGTGGTTTTATTTATTTATTTATAGATAGGAAAGCAGACTAAATCTGTTGTTAAATCATACAAGACGAAGGTCTTGAAACACCCCAGCAAAGTTCTAGCATGCGTTGCACCAAATGAGGAGGATGATCAAAAAAAGTGAGGCCCCATCTATCTAGCTTAGCCAAATAAGAAAGTAAATCCGCATATCTATTTGCCTCTTAATGGACCTGTATAATCTTACAATTCAAGTTCTTAGTAACAAATCTTTTGCACTCCAAGATCACCTGATTTAGAGAATCCTTGTCCTATAAAGGTAGATAAATTTAAAATTAATTTCATGAATAATTTTTTAAAGTGAAATGTTGGAAGTGATATATAAATTTTAAAAATTTTTAAAGTGATATCTTAATTATGAATTTATTAATTAATGTGATACTTGAAGAATTATTTGTTCACCACATATTATTATTTAAAATTAGTCACATTAAAAGTGAATATCATATTAATTAATAAATTTATAATTTAAATATCATATTAAAAAATTTTAAAATTTAAATATCATATTGAATATTTTACTATAATTTAGAAATAATTTAAGACATTAATCTGTATTTTATTAATAGCCAATAGAGAGTCTTATTCCACCATCACATTTATTTAGTCTTTATTCTATGCTAGTTTTGTACCAAAAAGTACTGTATAAAATTGTTACTTCATGTTAGTATATATATATTTTTTATTCAAATTATGTAATGTAATTAAATTATTTAAAAAATTAACTATTTATTATACATCACCTGTGATAATTAAAGGATTAATATTTATTTCAATAAACTAATACATATGATATGTAATAAATTTTTATTTTTTAAAAATGTAATTATATAGCATGATGTGAATATATATATATATATATATATATATTTATATATGCTAACGTGAAATAACATTTTGTACAAGCCCTTCAAGTTTTAGTTACCTCTACCAAGCTGAAGCATGAACCCGAGCAACCACGATCCTTGGCTATCTCAATAAAGCACTCCTACGGTATGTTCTCCTGGGTTAGATGTTACTGTTCCATCAACATTCAGTTTCACAAAAGCGACTAAACGTTGCTGTCTCTTGCACATTCAAAACCGTCGCTTTGTGCTTCATATTATAATCCTTCAAACGAATCACAATAATATTGGTGAAGTTAGGAGGCCACTCATAGCCATCTTCAAATTTACGTCTGTTGCGAAACTTCTAAACGTACCAGCAAACAAGGCAAACTATTATTCTCCACGAAAACATTTTTCCTGTTGAGATTAAAACTCTACCATTCATAAATCATATATAATGTGCTCCATGTAGCCATCCGCCCCACAAACTCCTTGATTCGGGACAGTCACGTAATAAATGAAGGCTATCCTCCATTGAAGGAACATACTTTGGACTTTTAGTCATATTGGGCTTATACCTTTTACAATTTCATTAGTTAGTTAATGCTAATGAGGCATTAGCTTAGAGATAAGAGAAAGTATTAGAATTTTGAGATATTAAGTTCAAGTCTCATTTTGTATAAATTTATTCGTTTGATTTTATATTAAATCTGTCTAATTAATTTTAATTTGTTTGTTTTTTATTATTTATGAATTTGAATAAAATATTTAACTATAATTATAACTTGTAATTTCATAAAAAAAAAAAATTGTAGTCACTCACTACTTAATTGCTATTAATTCAATATTCATTAACTTACTATAATCAGGCTATTAGATATAATTGCTTATTTTATATTTTATATCTTATGAATTATTTTGGGTCTCAATATATATATATATATTTATATATCTTTTTTCCCACTAAGTGATCACAAAAGACTAAATTTTATGTTAATTAAAATGCAAACGTACGTTATTAGTTCATCCGTTTGTATAATGTATGTATCTCTTTATACTTAAAATCAGGTTCCAAAATTTTTCTTTAAATTAAACAATATGAAAATGTTTAGATGTGGTAAAATGCATTTGTAATTTCAAATATTTCATTTGGATTTCACTTTTATCTTTAATATTTAAATTGTTCCATCATAATTTCAAACCTTATAAAATGGTATCAATATGGTCCTCTTATCAAAATTTGCATACAAATAAGAGAAAATTGTAACTTAGGATAATAAATTCAAAATTATAATTACTTTTCGTTACCATATTAAAATTATTTATTAAAATAAAACTTTTTAAAATTTTTAAGAAGAAAATTGAACTATCGTTTTATTTACAATTAACTTATTTATTATTATAATATGTTGAAGAAATATTTTATTAGAAGTAATTGATTAAAAATTACATAGTAAATGAGCATAATTTTGAAACTGTTTACGTTTAAAATCATAGTTAAAATGTAAACTTTATTAATTAAGTTCTTTAGTATATATAAGCTTTTTATATTGTTTTAGAAAATAAATCTCAACCACCCGAGAGTCAAAATTATTTGAGTATGTTTCATTTTTTTTGTTAAAAATAATTTCTAACTTTATTTTTAATAAGATTTAATTTTATTTTTTATCAAAATTTATAAATATTTGGGAAAAAAATTTTAATAAAATAAAAAGGAAATAAAATTAGTGTAATGGATCCGAAAGTATTATTCTTTTTTATCATAATAAAATGTATTTTATTAAAAATAAAATTTTTATAATCATTATGAACGAGAATAAAGTATCATTTTGGCCTTAGATTTTAAGTTGAATTTTTAAAATCACGAAGAAAATGACACTTTTATTTCCTTCTAAAAAGTTTTATAAATTTTATTTCTTTTCTAAAAATACATTTAAATTATTTGGGTTTGTTTCATTTCTTTCTTTTTTGTTATAGCTTTGTTGTAATAGAATTTAATTTTATATATTCATCAAATTGTAAATATCAAGAAAAAATAAAATTTAATCAAGAAAGAAAATAAAATCAAGATAATGGGTCCACAATTATTACTCTTTCCTATCGTACCAAAATATATTTATTAAAAAGAAAATAAATTTTTTATAATTATTACGAAAAAAATAAAGTATCATTTTAAGTTGAATTTTTAAAATTAAGAGCAAAAATGATAAATTTGTTTCATTCCTTCATTCATTTTTAATAAATATATTTTAATATGATAATAAAGAGTAATAATTTTAAATTTATTATTTAAGTTGTAATTTTCTCTTATTTTTATGAAAAGATATTTAGAGGACTATATTTACACCATTTTAAAAGATTTAAAATAATCATGAAACAATTTATAAATTAGGGATCAAAATGAAATCCAAATACAAGGTTTAAAACTATGAATTCACTTTACCCATTTAGATGATATGTATATGTATAAAATAATATAAAAGCTTCATAAGATTTTTTTTTTTTTGGGTAAATTGTAAGACAACATTTGTAATAAGTACATAAAAGTGGGCAAAGGCAACCATTTTGTGGGGATACATATAATGAGACAAGGACTAAGGAGTAGAAGTAAGGACAAAGACCCATAGCACATAATCTTGGTCCTTTATAAGAAAGCTACGGGTGGGGTTGCAGAAAACAACAACACAAATTAAAATAAAAAAATAAATATCTAAAATGTATTGAAAAAGTAGATATTGCTTTGTGTTGGAGTCATATATATCTACGGCCATTGGCTGCAGTCCTAACCAATGCCAGCCGCTGTCCTACCACACCCCAATTTTAGTTCTCATCAAAATCACTACTTATCCTTTCCATCCGTTTTCACTCCTGTTGGCACCACCTTCCAACAGACACTCTTTTTTCCTCCTCCATCTAATCTATATTTCCATGCCATTGCTGCTGTCTGTGTGCCAAACTTTATCATATAATAATAATAATAATAATCAGGAAAATCTATATGGTTTTCTTATGTTTTAATGTAATCCTTTTAGATGACTTGCAAAACAGTCGTTATCAGTATTAACTTGCTAAATTTGGATTAAGGATCTGGTTTTAATTATTAGCTGACGACGTTATTGATGTTAATGAATTGATTTAGTGGTGATTAAATTTAATAATTAATATATATTAATTATTTACACATACAACTTCTTTTATTTTCAAACTGCAGTTTGTTGTATAAAAAAATTCAATAATTAACATATTAATTAAGATGATTTATAACTATATATGAAAATGATGGGTCTAGACTCAAGAGAAGACAACATCATAGAAATTTGAATAACCCTAATAAGTGATTATCTACACGTAATTCTCATCGAAGGAAAAATTCGGAGGGCCATGAAAATTGAAACCCGCTTGGTAAATATAAATTATATAATAATTATTATCAAATCAAGTTGCCTACTTGTACAACGTCTATTTGATTTTTTATCCACTTGGCTTTAATTTATTGTTGAATAATCAATTACCAATCAATCAATTTTTCTTGGTCATTCAAATAGAAAGAGCAAATTGTGTACGCTCTTTAAAAAAGA